TGTTTATGTTGGTCTATAAAGACAATAAAGAGTAATTTTAAATAAATACAAAATTAACATTAAAGAATCAATAAATCAAATTATATTGCATGCTCAGGACCTATAAAACCAATATGATGAAATAAAATACAATTAAAAGTCCTGAAAAATGCAAGGAGAGAACTGCCAAAGGAACCTTGGAGGTGAACTATATTTCAAATGTAGGGAGGGAAATTACAAATAAGGGCTGTCTGTTTATCTTGAACTTGCCACCTCGAGATGGGCATGGGATTCCTTAACAGACCAACTTAAATGACCTTATCAGATGAGTAGAGAACATTGTACCAAAATATAGATATATTCTGGTGCTCTAGTCCAGGGTCTCCAACTTTGACAACTTTAAGCCTAGCAGACTTCAACTCCCAGAGTTCCCCAGCCAACTTTGCTGGCTAGGGAATTCTGGGAGTTGAGGTCCACCAGGCTTAAAGTTGCCAAGGTTGGAGACCCCTGCTTTAGTCTTTCAACTTTGTTACCCTTAGGGCCTTTAAGCCCAATATGAACTCACAAACATTTTAAATAGATGGCAGACATTAGAGGTTAACATCCTGCTTGAACTCGAAAAAATAAAACACACTCCTTTGCCATTGCTTTATTAGAAGAAAACCAGGCAGAGAACTTGGCAATACTTGATTTGATATAGCAAGAAAAAGAATCAGAGACTGAAACTAAGCATAAGCTAATGAAGTGTGAAGGATTTACCAGGTAAAGAAATTAAATTATGTTCCTAATCACATTTCACAAGTGGGCTCAAGAAGGCTAGATAATAAATTTCAGAAAAATAGGAAGGCATACACATGAAGAGATCAAAGTCTAACTATTAAGTAATTGTAGAATCCTGTTTTTCATATATGTTAGTCCCAAGGTATAATCTTGAGTCTCTTCTTCCCACCTTTTTGAGTTAATGCCCATGTAGCTACTGTTACTGGGGTCTGTTGTTCATAAAACAATGTTCTCTAGCAAGAAAAGCAGAGATTCCTGTCTGAACCTTTACACAAAATGGAGAATAGCAGAGAGAAGCTTATAACAGAAGTGGGAAGAAAATAGGTATGCTGCATTTAAAAAAATAATAATCTCCATTTGTCTCAATTACATATACCTTCATTTGATTTCTCCAACAGAAATCTTCATTTGATTTCTCCAATATCAGTCCAGTCTTTTGGGAAATAAATAAACCTGACTACCATACAGTATTCTGGAATTCAAAGAGACAAAAAATGAACCAAAAACAAACCTGAACAGGAATAAGCTCTAACTTTTTTCCAGAAATTCATTACGTTAGATCATATAAGCATCACTCAAAATGATAGCCTAATTTGAAATACTGTGTTTCTCCAACAATATGCCGCTCCCCCCATAGGAAGTCCCAGCATATTTTCTAGGCATAAGGCATTAAGTTCCTCTGAGAAGGTCGGGAGTTTAAGCATTTAAGACGGTGCTAAGGTTCTGTAGGATGATTCCCTTTCTCTTATGTTTGGATTGGAAGGTTCATTCATTCATTCACCCTTAGCACTCCCTTAAATGGAAGAAGTAACCACTCCCCACCTTTATCTCCTTGAAGGACAGAAACAGGATGGAAATCCACCTCCTGGATTTCTCCTGGCAAATCCCAAAGACACTCTTCCCTCTCTCCCTCCCTCCTTCTTTCCCTGCCAAGCTTCCCAGAGGATTCTCCCAAATGATCCACCCCAAAGGAGGATTCATCACAGAATTCACCCCAAAGGAGGGGAGTGCATTTAAGGGGGTGAATCCTCCTTTGGGGTGAATCCTTTGAGAGAATCCTCTGAGAAGCTTGATGCTAAGGGTCTGTAGGATGATTCCCTTTCTCTTCTGTTTGGATTGGAAAGTTTGCCTTTGCTCGAAGGGCTAAATGGATAGATGGTTCCCTTTTCAAAGCTACCGGGAGGGGTGGGGAGGAAGCTGCCCAGCCAGTCTGTATTCTTAGGGAACTGACAGAGGGAATGAGAGTAAAGAAAACTTAAAGAGGGGGAAAAGATTCACATGGGGGTTCGGGCGGCTGGAGCAAGAGAGCGCCCGACCATACAGGGGATGAGACCATGATGTGAAGCTCTGGGACGGGAAGCAAAGTGATGCCCCTTCGGGAGAGCAGGTGGTTCTTGTCGGCAGCAGGATCTGTCTCACCATTGCTGCTGCTGTTGTTGGAGATGGTGCTGTCAAGGCGCCAACACCGGTGGGAACCATGGAAGCTACGGAGGCGGCTCCCCCGTCCAAGAAGCAGCTGAAATGCTGCCGATGGAGGAATGCACAGCACTCCAAACGCGGTAGTGGTACGGGCAGGAGAAAGCAACGGCGGCAGAGGAAGCATCAGCGGAGGGCGCCGGAGGTCTCACAATGTAAAGTGCCCCGAGGCCAACATCCACACCGATGACGCCTGCCCACTGACCCGGCCTGCAGCCAGCACCATATCCGGGTCTGCAGCAAAAACGCTTGGCGGGGGTAGGGAGCCGCCATGATCAGACATCAGGAGCGGCTGGTGGTGAGGCGTGGCTGCCCGCGGAGGTGCTCTAGGCGAGTGTGCACGGGGAGAGAAATTGTCACCCCCAAAAAAGACGGCCTAGCCATTTTTTCGGGGGTCAAAAGAAAATAAGGCCCAGCCTTATTTTCTGAGAAACACGGTAACTATTAATTCACTATTCAATTTTATTAATCTATATAGCTATTCTCATTCATTTTTCTGTATGCATATTTACAGAATTTTTATATTTGTTTATTTGGCATTTATTTTTATTTCTAGGACAATTAACTTTATTTTTTGTGCAAAGAAAAAGAAAAACAGGTACTACAAGAGAGGAAAATCCCTGCCCTTTTTTGAAAATCCTGAGATTGCAATTAGAAGTTTAAGACAACAAAAGGATAACTTTCCATTAAGTTAGATTAAGAATATTTAATTGGAATATTTAAACAATTTATAGAGGTAGATAACATGTATTAAGTTGAGCTCACAAGATTAGACCTCCATAAAATGGTTATATTGCAATCCTAAATGTACTTAAAATAATTTTTCACTGGATTAGATCCAAATTGGGCAGAACATTTATAATTTCTTGAATGGCTATCATGAAAGGAGTAAACTAGGCCAGATCACCTGTTTATTACTAAAGGAAGACTATTTACTACCGCCTATAATACTGTATTCTAACCATTGTGCCACCACAGGAATGTTTAACTTTGTTGCTCATGACGAAGTGGACCAGATCTTAGGGAGTGCAAGCACCTATGTTTTAGATCGATAATCCTCTTGGTTTATCAAAGGGAGGCAACATGAGGATGGGTTCTAGTAGTGATTAATTCTTCCTTGTGGAAGGGGCTTGTGCCCCAGCATGTTAATCTATCTGTTGTCTGCCTTCTTCTTAAGATGCCATCACTATATTCCATCCTGATGAATAAATTTTTCAACCTGTTTCCAATCTTCCCTTTTTTGTGAGGGTGATTGAGAAGGTGGTTTTGTGGCAATTCCAAAAGTTCCTGAATAAAATGGGTTATCTGGACCATTTCCAAACAGGATTTAGGTATGGCTGTGGATGGAAACGGCATTGGTTGCCCTTTTTGATGATCTCTGGCAGGAGCAGGATGGCGGTAGGGCATCCAACCATGCTCTACTTGATCTCTCAGCGGCCTTCAATACCATCAACCTTGGTATCTTTCTGGAGAAGCTTCGGGAGTTGGGAGTGGGTGGCTCTATGTTGTTCTGTTTTACTTCCTTTCTCTGTGATTACTCTGAGTCAGTGTTGATAGGGAGCAAGAGATCCAGCCTCGTCCACTGTTTTGTGGGGTCCCACAGGGCTCTGTACTCTCTCCACTTCTGTTTAACATCTACATGAAGCTTCTAGGGGAGATCATCCACCATCATGGACTGAGATATCTTCAATATGCTGATGACACCCAGCTATATTTCTTGAGTTTATCATCAAAAATGTCTGCCAGTAGTTTTAGAATTTCAGGGCTTGTCTACATACAACTCATGCTATATTTTCTGTCTATATTTTAAGATCATCAAAACAGTACTACAGTAGTTTGCTTAACTCATATTTGATTCCTGATGAAATTAATAATTAATTTCCCACACTGGTTTTAAGAGAATTTTAAATCAACTTAATCTTGATTCACCTTACTGAAATTAACAGGATTAAGAATGCAAATGCTGCTCTCAATTTGAAATAAGCCTGGAAACAAATACCACTAAAAAGCCATTATTGAAACAAAACCTTCTGCCCACTTATACACTATTTCTAAATACATGCCTATAGTATAATATTTTGATATTTGTGCAGCAATCTATTTTTTGCCTATGAAACTCTTTAAAGCATTACGCATTATTTAGAATAGAGATCTGAATGTAAGCTGTTAACTCACAAACATGCTTTGAATTACAATATTAATCATTAACATAATTTTCTTTAATTTAATTATCTATTAAGCTATCATCATTACAGTAAATACCCTGAATTTTCATCTTTTGCTACAAAGAACAGAAGAAGGGCCAGTTTCTTTCCTGAACAAGATAAAGTTCAAGCAGGCTAGTTTTCAACTTCTTCTCTGACTCCGCCTCCAATCATACTTCCTAAAAAAGATCCTGTGAAACACCCTTGAACACCAGGCAACATCTTGTCAGAGATACTGACAGAGAATTAGGTTGACTTTTCCATAGTTAACTTAACCGTGGTTTATTTACTTGCTAACATGGAGATTTCAGACTTACCGGAGATTTTACCCCACTATGCTACCATCAAGTACCACACGTTATCTCTCAAAATGTTCAGAGTGTCGGGTGACACATAAACGTCCTACATAGATCCATACATTCCGGCCTACCCCTTCCGATAAGCCCTGAAACATCAGTAACCCTTTCCCCGCCTACCATCCGCCCAACAGAGGTGAAGAGTCCCCGCCCATCCTTCTGGCAGGAGAGGCTGCCAGCTTCCACTCCCGATTCCGGTTCTCACCCAGCGCCAGCAGCTCTGAGTTTTCTTGCCCAAGATCAGCTCCGTCCGAACGAAAAGACTAGGGACTCCGAGCAAGCCGGTTAGGGCGGAATCACGAAGGTCCTCGGTGCAGCAAGGAGAGTGCTCTCCTTGGACTCGTAGCTGCTTCTCGAAAGCGAAAAGGAAGTGGACTTCACGGGTTTGTCCCTCGCAGGATCCTGTTGTTGTTTTTTTCCTATCATATAATGAGTTCCAAATCGACCTCGCGCTTTCCACGAGCGCGAAGCTCCTAAAACTTTCCGTGCCGCCGCCTTTTCCTTTTTTTTCCCGGCGCCGCTTCCCAGGCCACTCAGTCACGGACGAGGTTCGGCAGCTGCAGGAAAAAAAAAAAAAACACCACCCTTCAACGACACGCATGCGCACCTTCTCGCCTGGAGGCGGGCCCATAAAAGGAAAACGCATGCGCAAGATTGATAACTAGAGGTGAGCTTTCTTTCCTCGGCTGGGTTGTTGCTGTGGGAAGTGCCTCTTAAATTTCTCTCTTCGCTGGGTCAGCAAAACCTATGGAAGTCGTTATATGTGTGCTGCGGCTGTCATTACGTGTCAGACCCCACCTGTTGCCACTTTCAGACCATAGTGACACCGTCAGTAATTTACAAAATTGAAAGGAAATATGCAGTCGTACAGATAGTTCAGAGAAGATCTGAATAAAAATCTGATCATAAAAATAACATCTAAATCCTTTTTTTATGGAAGACATAAAAACTATAAGAACATAAAACATTTTTAACAGAATTATTTTTTATTCACCAAATTCTAGGGTTGTTTTTTTAAAGGGAAAGCATCTCAAAACTTTGATCACAAAGTCTCTTCAACCTGAATCATGAAATTAGAGATTCTGAGAGTTTTCATGATGTCATATCATATTGATCCTACAAATTGATCCTCCTCATTTTGATATTAAATGTAAAAAAAGCACTATCAAACTAGAGAGAACATACTTTGCTTTCTACTGACCCAAACATGCTGCTGCTTTTATGATTTTAGGAGAGGTTTTTCATCCATAAAATTATAGGCTGGCTGGGAAGGACCTCTAGTCTCTACACAGAGCAAGAATCCTCTGACCTGCCCAGGCAAATGGTTGTCCAATCTTTGAAAATCTTCAGAAATGGATCATCCACAATTTCAGAGAAACACTATTGTTGCGAACTGAAGTTCTCACTCCAGTCCGTTGTTTAATTAGGAGAACAGACTAGCTCCTTTTGGCTGGCCCATCTGATAGCTGATTATAAAAGGAGAGCTGTCAGACAGAATCAGCTGTTGCTTGTTAGCGGAACCACCCTTGTTAGCCACAGCTGCAATCACTAATTGTTAGAAATAAATGTTACAAAGGTTTCTCTCTTGTCACCTCCGTTCTTCCACCCACCATATATAATACTGGCAACAAGGATGGGATTGGCAAACTGAAGCAACAGAACTGTTGTCACAAGCCTTTCCAAAGTCACTAACAAGAGAGCTAGTCGCTAACTATCCAAGAGTTGACGTCACAGGCAGTGGAAGACTATTTTGCCAAATCAAAGTAGCAGAGAGATGGCAGCACCACCTTCTTTTGCCCCATTCCATCTGGCCCAGGAAATGTGGGATTCCTCCATAAACCTCTTTGAATGCTTCATCGAAGCAAATGACCTCGTAGAAACTCCAGCAACCAGAAGAAGGCGTACTTCCTAAGTTTCTGTGGGGCTGAAGTATGCGACACCACAAGAGCCCTTCCAGCCCCCAGACAATCCAGTCAGTATCCTGGGATATCCTCAAGACATACTGGGCAACCACTATTTGCCAAAACCTTCCAGAATTGCTCGCCAACATGCTTTTCACCAAAGAAACCAAGCTAAGGGTGAATCCATTAGCCTCTACATGGCAGCCGTACGAAGGGCAGCCCTCCATTGTGGGTTCCAAGATCTTGATGACATGCTCCTAGACCAATTAGTGTGTGGCGTGAAGGACTTCCATCTGCAGCGATGCCTACTCACCAGGGCTGACCTCACTCTTAAGATGGCCATAGAAGAAGCCCAGGCCACAGAGCTGTTAACCTTTTTGGCAGCAAAGGTCCAAGGTGCAAGCAGCCCACCCATTATCAGAGGCACTACAGCCATACATCATAACACGATTTTTCCCAAAGAGACAATCAAGGAAGATGATGACGTCAATTGCCTCAGATCAACACAAAGAAAGGGCTGGACAAGTGAGATGAAGCCATAGCAACAAAAAACAGTTTGTGCGGGCTGAGGCAGAAATCATCTGAGGGCAGCCTGCAGGTTCAAGAATGCCATATGTCTGAAGTGTTAAAAGAAGGGGCACCTGGCCAGAGTCTGCCAGGCCAGGCAGACAGTCAACCAACCTTCTGCCTATCAGCCACAGCCAAGACTACAACTAAAGGAAAACTTTTGCCAGAGCCCATAGCCAGGCAGAGACATTAATCAGACAAGCCTGCCTGTCTTGTGCAAAGAAGATTCATGTCACTGTCTTGCCAAATGGAGGTGGAGACAGGTTCCTCCCTTTCCATTGTCTCCTGGAGCACCCTCAAGTACCTAGTGCCCAAGATCACAAAAAGATGATTACAAGACTGCCAACTGTTGCTCCAAGACTACCAGGGACACCCATCCAGGGGTGGGGTTCTACCAGTTCACACCTATTTGTTAGAACCGATTGTTAACATTCTAAGCAGTTTGGAGAACCGGTTGTTAGAAGAAATTACTGGCCTAATTCTGTAAAGAAGGCAGGAAGGAAACATTCTGATGTTGCATACAAAAACTGCCTCTCCGTTAACCCTTATTACATTCTTGGAAGGATTAGACTTCCTGTCTCAGGAACATCTCTTGAGTTTTTTTTGCCTCCTTTGCTGGTACTTTGGTTGTGTGTAGTGACCATTCAAAGTTACAACGGCACTGAAAAAAGTGATTTATGACCATTTTTCACACTTATGATTGTGGGGATGCTGCACCAGCATCCCCACAGTCATGAGAGGCCAGGCAAGAAGATGCGTGCCTCGATGTAAATGATATTGAGTTGGCCACACCCAGCCAATAACATGACCACCAAGCCACATCCACCCAGTCACATGACCACCAAGTCACACCCACCACCTAAGCCACGCCCACAGAACAGGTTGTTAAAAAATTTGAATCCCACCCCTGAACTCATCCCTATCTTCAGAAAAGGCAAGTTCAAAGTTAAATTTCAGAATTTTGAAGGGTGGCTCCAGCTGATTATAGTTGGCGGGTCCCTGCCTCACCTATTGAGTTGGACTGGTTCATTTCCCTAGAGCTATGAATTAGCAGCATAAACTCTGTGACCAGGAAGTAGAGACCTTGGCCGGTGAGTTTGCCAATGTATTCAATGGAGACCTGGGCAAATACTCAGGAAACCCTATCTCTTTCAATTTGGACCCCCAGATCACTCCTATCCACCTCAAACCATACTGGATGCCATTTGCCTTACAGCCCAAGATGGACCAACAGCTCAACAAACTTATTGCTCAAGGCATCCTAGAGCCAGTCGATCATGTCAGGTGGGAGATACCCATCAAACAGGATGCATGTGTGCTGATTACAGGTGCACAATTAATAAAGTGCTGCAGAAAAATGCTTATCCTGTTCCAGTCATCCAGCACCTGGTACACTCCCTGGGAGGTGGAACAATCTTTGCAAAATTGGACTTAGCTCAAGCCTATCAGCAGCTTCCTGTAGGTGACATCACAGCAGAAGTCCAGACTATTGACACGCATAGAGGAGCCTTTAAGTGTCATTGCCTGCAGTTCTGGGTGAGTGTAGCCCCTGGCATTTTTCAAACCTGATGGCATGCCTGCTGCATTCCACATTCCACATGTTGTGCCATATTTTGACGACATCCTCATCTTGGCCACCAACAAAACTGAACTTTAGACCACCTGCGAGCAGTGCTCAGCTGTTTCCAAAAAGCTAGCCTCAAAGTAAAGAGGGACAAATGCAAGATCATAGTTGATCAGGTGGAGTTCCTAGGCTACCACATCGACACCACCAAATCTAAGGTACATGCCATTCATGAAGCCCCTCTACCCGCTGCCCACTGTGGTCAAAGACCCAGACCCAGCAGCATGTCAAAATTGCCCATCATTTAGCCAAGGATGAGGTAATAGCCCAGGTACTAGACTGGGTTTGGAGGGAGTAGCCTAAGGGACCAGTCAGTATAGATTTCCTCTTTGTGATGACCCAGAGTATATCAGAAATATAACAAAACCCAAAACGTAACTAGAAGTCCTTTAATGCCTTCAACTTGGCTTCACTGTTTAATTGTTCATGCAGCAGCTTTCGAATTGTGAGCTTGTTTTAAAATGGGGGCCCTCAAGCTAGCTGGTACATATATAATTTGCCCCCCCCCCATGCCAAACCATCTCTAACCATACAGTCATTTGAGTGGGTCAGGAACTAATCATCTAGATTTAAAACTTTCTTATCTGTGCAGACAAATCTTTTGAGAGATCAGCATCTCCCTTTTCTGGGCTCTAGTAACCATCGGAGTCACCAATTGTTTAGTCAGGACAATGGGACGGATCATTTCCAGGTGGACACTATTATATTGGGGTAATCTAGACAGTGCATCCACCATGAAGTTCTTCCCTCCCAGAAGGTACTTCAATGAAAAATTAAACCGTTTGAAGTATTGTGCCTAGCGGACTTGCTTAGGTGACAATTTTCGAGGCATTTTTAGAGCCTCTAAGTTTTTATGATCTGGCCAGACCTCAAAAGGGTGTTTTGCTCCCTTGAGAAAATGCTGGGATAAACTGATGGTAAAAATTAGCAAATCCCAGGAAACTTTGCAATTGCTTTCTGGTGCGAGGAGGGGCCCATTCCAAAATGGCCTGGACTTTCCCCTGATCTATTTCTATGCTGTCATGTGATATGCAGTAGCCTAAATAGTCAATTTTCTTTTGGTGGAACTCACACTTGGACAATTTTGCGTACAGTTCAGCTGCCTGAAGTTTTTTCAAAACTGACCGTACTAATTTCACGTGCTCCTTGAGAGTCTCGGTGTAGATAAGGATATCATCAAGATAAACCAGTACCCCCTTGTACAAATGTTCATGCAAAACCTCATTTATCAGTTGCATGCATACAGCAGGCACCCCCTGTAGGCCAAATAGGAGAACGTTGAATTGGAAATATCCCAGCGGGCAATTGAACACAGTTTTCTATTCCTCTTCTCCTTAAATTGAACTCAGTAGTAGGCTTCTCTCAAGTTAAGTTTTGTGAAAATTTTCCCTTTGACCAGGTGAGCCAACATCCTTCATTAAGGGGAGTGAATATACATTCTCTGCAGAAA